CAGATTTTAAGTAATTCCTTTGTATCAGAAGCAGAGGTCCTTTTTTCAGTCCGAGGTCGAGGAGAGGAGAAGGTAGGTAAACAAATTTCAGTCCAGGGTTCTGTACACGTAATAGTAGGTTGCGAAAATTTAGTAGCCGGTCTAAGGATCTCGGGGGAAACCACACAATAATCCAGCATTTTGAATCTGGCGCGGTCTTCCTATGTAGCGTGAGGAGACCGCGTCAGAGAAGGGGGCGGGGCTGAGCTCCGTCTACCCGGAAGTGCCCTGGAAGTGGCGAAACCGACAGGTATAACCTGACAGTAACATTGTGTAATTTTATGTCTTTTTGCAACCATGTGGTTAATGGAGTCTTGCCTCTGTCCTGGGAGATAATTTGATTACTTCCCAATTATCTCCAGGATAGAGAGGAGGGATTGTGATGTCACTGTGGGAGTGTTTTGTTTGTATTGTCTGTGATTGGCTAATATCCAATATCTGTCCCATTGTTCCATCTTGTCCCCTAGGGGAGTGTCCACCTGGTGAACACTTGCATAAATACCGGGCAAGTAGCCCTCAATAAACCAGAACTACTTGACCCTTTCTTGAAGCCTTGGCTCATGCTTGGGGGATGGGGTAATTACACTCTTGGGGATTGCTATATTACAATACTCCCCTGAGTATAAGCTCTTTTAAGAGCTTGTTCCTGGTTCCTGCTCTCTGGATATAGGAGAGGTCTATCCACTGGAAGCAGGATCCTGGCCTTGGGTCCAGGGTGGGTGAAAGACGGTGAGACCCCGGCGCAGCTGCATCGCTGGAAGTGGGGTCTGCAGTGCTGATGGTGTCGGTTGGAGTGCTTGGAGTCCTCGGCAAGCACTAGGAGCATCGATTGGCGGAGGTACTCGGTCGGAGTGCCAGCGATCCGTCACAGTAATTATTGAATATATTTATGAATATGTCTGCTAGTATCTCATATAGCCCTGAGGTAATTATTTATTATATTTTATTTATTTATGAATATGTCTGCTAGGATCTCATATAGCCAGGGGTATTTATCTAATATATCTTATTCATGTTTAAATGTGTCTGCTAGAACCTAATACAGCCATGGGGTAATTATTTAATATATTTTATTTATGAATATGTCTGCTAGTATCTCATATAGCCCGGGGTAATTATTTAATATATTTTATTTATTTATGAATATGTCTGCTAGTATCTCATATAGCCAGGAGGTAATTATTTAATATATTTTATTTATGTATAAATATATCTGCTAGAACCTAATAGAGCCATGGGGTAATTATTTAATATATTTTATTTATTTATGAATATGTCTTCTAGTAGTTAATATAGCCAGGGGATATGTATTTAATACATTTTATTTATGTATAAATATGTCTGCTAGTATCTCATATAGCCGGGAGGTAATTATTTAATATATTTTATTTATGTATAAATATTTCTGCTAGTATCTGTTATAGTCAGGGGGTCCTCCAGCAGATAAAGAGTTAAACAACCCTTAATTTACTCACCACTATCATCCAATGGGGGAGGAAACTTATGCGCATGCATTAGGAAATCATTGAATCAATGCTTTCCTATGGGGATTTAACTGATGCTGGATGTCCTCAAGCAGAGACTCGGAATCCCATAGACTCCCGGTAGCGAGCTGCCACTGGGGGCAGTCTTAGTTCCACAATGTAAACTGTGCAGTTTCTTAAAAACATGTTTTACATTGCAGGACTAAGAGGGGCAGGCACCCTGCACCCAGTCTGCTTCCATGAGATGAAATGGTCTGGGTGACTATAGTGCCCTTTTCAAAATGCAAAATATGAAGCCTCTTGTCATGTAATAAAATTATAGTGTACTATAATCTTAATTGCCGTATGGTATGATGTTGGTACATTGTAGTCGTTCCATCTGATACAGTTACACGTGATGCATGTCACTATTTTTCCCTGCAATGTTTATTATTAAATGTTTTTCATGTATTTTCAGAGTAACTTCCTATGCAGCATATACTCTTAAAGCTTCTCGACATTCTACTCACAATGGAGTCTTCAACTTGTTTCTTTTTTTTAATGTTGGATTGTTTGATGATAACAGATCTTCGTTAAGTATGTTTTGTATCGTTCACATCAAAGAGAGAGGAGAAGCTTGTTCCAGTCAGGGTGAATATAACCTTATGTTTGCTTTTGATTGGTTAATAGTTTGCGTTATGATCTGTGCTGCTATTGGAATTCAGTAAAGAGAGAATTGCAAAATATTTGGCTCCTGTCATTATTAAAATTAAGATTATAGTAAAACTAGCAATTATGTTCAATTATGTCACATAAACAGTATTTTGTATGAGTTGGGAAATCGATATGGTCCGATGAATCGGAAGATCCCATGATCTAATTGCTGGGGTATTTATGACAAGGGAGAGTCACTGAGATAACAGGATATTAAGTAAATAGTCTCTATCTGGGAAACATACCTGAAGCACAAATCCAATTAATTTAATAAGATAACTCAGAACATGGCTGTAATGATTAACTAACTCCTTTCATGGATTTTGGCTCAAATTCACCATTTTTACCATGAATCGGACTGAGAAAAGAATTACACATTTCAACAGAGCTGAAATATGTTTAAATTCCTGAATAGGAAGTAAATATTTCAGTATTTGCTAAACAAATAAAGTAATTAAATAACTCCCACATATAACACCACTTCGATACCAGCCCCACATCATACCACCCCAATATCATACCACCAACCTCTCATGCCATTCCATGCTCCTATATAATACTAACCCCCATATCATACCACCTAAACCCTCATTTTGTGCCATAACACCAACCACTCACATCACACAATCCAAACCCCTATCTCGTGACATACTACCAACACTCCATATCATATCCACTAAACCCTCCATATCATACCACCCAAACCTACATGCCATGTCATACTACCTACAGTTGGAAGTCATACATGAAGATTAGAAGAAACCATTTTCTGTTGGAGCACCAGGTTTGTAGACCGGTCCAATTGGCAACCTGGAAGCCCCCCAGATCCTCAAGCTTAAGGCCTCCAGCGAGGTTTGGATTGTATAGTACCGGTAGCAGAGGGTTGGTGGAGTGAGTAACGTACGGTGCACCAGATCTGGATAATTGCGTCTATCAGCGGGTTGTTGGTTTTCATCTGCACAGTCATTATCTCCCCCAGCCAAAGCTGGGATGGAAGTCGACCCCCAGCCCGTCCCATCTCTAGGCTCACCCATAGTTTCTCCGTTGGGCAGACATGCCAACCTACTAGCCTGTTTAAGTGTGATGCTTGGTGGTACAATCTTATAGTGGGTAGACCCACTCCACCTGCTGCCTTGGGTAGCTCCAGCTGGCTCTGCCGTACCCGGGTGTTTCCCCTGTTCCAGATGAACCTCCGTAGCACAGTTGACAATGATTGAAAGAAGGTTTGTGGAAGAACCACGGTATAGTGTTGAAGAGTTACAGGAGACTGGGCAGTATGTTCATTTTCACTGCATTGATACGACCAAACCAGGAGACATCCAGCGGTGTAGGTCTTTTTGCCCTTTTGATAGTAATGGCAGGAAATTATCTTGGTATAGGTTTTTCAGCTCCATAAGCAACCAGATTCCGAGGTAGGGAATCTGGTGTGTTTGCTAGGTAACGGGGAACTGCCCTCTCAGGTGTTCATAGGCATTCACAGGGAGGGTAATGTTTTATACCTTCCAATTCAGTTTGAGGTTGTTTTACGTCCCTTATGTCTTAAGGAGGTTGGGTAATAATAATAATAATCAGCGGTCTCTCCAGGAAAAAGAGCATGTTGTCCGAGTAAGCCGCAACTCTGTGTTCCTGTTGTCCACTGGTGAGCCCCTTAATGCCCCAGTCCCATCTGACCGCCTCCAGAAATGGTTCCAGAGAGAGGGCAAACAAAAGGGAGGACAAGGGGCACCCCTGTCGAGTTCCGTTGCGGATGGGGAAGGACGACGACAGAGCTCCATTGACCTGTATGCATGCTGATGGTGTTGTGTACAGGGCTGACATCCACATTAGAATGTGGGGGCCGAAACCCATGTGGCGTAATGTAGAAGTCATATATTCCCAGTTTACACAATCGAACGCCTTTTTTGGCGTCGGTGGACAGGAGAAGGACCTCCGCACCTGTGTTGTGTACGGAATGGATAACGTTCAGGGCTCTAATGGTGTTGTCCCTGGCTTCCCTGCCTGGGATGAAACCCACCAGCACCTTAGCCAGACGCAAAGTGATCACTTTTGCAAAAAGCTTCAGGTCAGAATTGAGGAGGGATATCGGGCGATAGCTCGAGCATTGGGATGGGTCCTTCCCTTCCTTTGGTATGACCGTAAACATTGCTGTGATGGAGTAATTGGGGAACTGGTGCCTCGTTAGTATTTAGTTCAAGCCTGCTAAGAGCTTTGTCAAGAGTACATCTTTGAAGGTTCTTAAATAGCTGCCTGGCAGGCCATCTGCCTGCTTCCTCTTCTTGAATGCTCCCTCTAGTTCTTCTAGAGTTAGGGGGGATTCCAGCTCTTAGGACATCTCTGACATACATTTTTGGGTTACATGGGTAGATAAAAAGTCAGACACTCGAGTCCCGCGTAGTCCGTCTCCTTCTCTTGGTTCCGTGCCCGACAGGATATAAAGTTTAGTATAGTAGGTCTGGAAGGCTTGTAGAATGTCAGCCGGGCGTCTTTGTTCTTTTTGCCCTTGGGTTTTGACCAGATGGATATGATGCATCCTCCATTTTTTTCTGCAACATTCGTGCAAGTAGCCTCCCGCATTTATTTGAGTATTCATAAAAATATTTGTTTGATTTCCGCAGGGTATGAAGTACTAAGGGGGAGGACGAGGGGGCGGTCCGCCCCGTGTGCCACCAGGTAGGGGGTGCCATGACCCTGGTCTGAGGGCTAAAGGGGGATGTGTGAGCTGCGCCCCATGGCAGCTGGGGTGCCGCACAGCTCACACGCAGAGACCAGCAATTACCAGGTGAACTGGCCACATGGAAGGAGGGGGCGGAGCTACAAACAATTGGAGGCGGAGTCAATTGATGCTGTTACTGCTTCACATAGAGGTGCAGCAAGAAGAAATCCCTGCTCCTCCACCTGACAGGCTCCAGGGAAGGACTTCAGTGAATTCACTCCTCCAGCCCACACTGTCTGTAAGTAAGAGTGTGTGTGTGTGTAACTGTCTGCTTGTAACTGTGTGTGTGTGTGTGTGTGTGTGTGTGTGTGTGTAACTGTCTACCTGTAACTGTGTATGTGTGTGTAACTTTCTGCCTGTAACTGTGTTTATGTGTGTGTAACTGTCTACCTGTAACTGTGTATGTGTGTGTAACTGTCTGCCTGTAAATGTGTGTGTGTAACTGTGTGTATGTGTGTGTAACTGTCTACCTGTAACATTGTGTTTGTGTAACTGTCTGCTTGTAACTGTGTGTATGTGTGTGTAACTGTCTGCCTGTAACTGCGTGTGTGTGTGTTTTAAGAAGTGTAGTGGGGTCGGTTGTGTGTAGATCAACCTATTCACAGCGGATAACTCTGACCCACGATCAGTGATTTATAACCCAGAATGAGAGGCCCAGCCGGGCCAAGTCTTACTCTGACGTTCTTGCAGTGTCCGTGTTAGAGGACGCAAGGCCCTTCTGGCTTCCAGGGTCAGCGTGGAGAGGTCCTGGTATAACGATACCTGTGCATCCATGTAGGGTATTGATGTAAGTGGTCGGGCAGCTTGCATAAACGTAAGGAGAGGAAGCAACAGATTACATCGCGTGGCTGGCCGTCCTATCTCAGCGGTCTCAGGGCTCAATATGCTCGCTACAGTTTGAAATTAGCGGGGGCTGCATCTCCCAGAAGCTGAGTGAATAGACCAGTGAGTACCTCTTGCAGTGACTCGCCTTCTGATTCTGGCAGGCCACGGATTCGCACATTATTACGTCTGCCTTGATTGTCAAGGTCTTCAACTTGGCGTTTCAGCTCCAGGAGTATCGAGCCCTGCCATATAGTGACTATCTCAGCCTCCTGCTGGCATTGGGTCGTGTGGTGGCTTTCGGCCTTTTTTCCTTCTTAAACTATCTGATTTTCCTCAAACAGCAACAGCTCTGTTTAAATATTAAAATTGCTTTATTTTCATGACTTCTTAATTTATGCAAATAAAAGATGAAACATGTTTTTTATATATATATATATATATATATATATTAAAAGGCCATTAGGCCTGAATTTGTGGGAGGAGTTAAGGCCCCTACTTAAACCCCTAGCCCCTACTCACCACTGTCGTTCAAGCTGATTGACTCACCTTGGCAATCAGCACTTCCAGTCCGAGTTCCCACCAGAAAAAGTTACCGACGCTAGCAAGAGTCCTGTCGCTGCAGTATCCTCTGCCTCCGACCTCCAGTCCTGCCACCCGGCTTCTCCCCGGTTACGCTACCCGGCTTCTGGTCACGAGACCGGCGCATCCACTTAAGCGTTCGGCTATTTCCCACGTTCGGGCTTAAAAACGTAGGGGTAGGCTCCCTTTCTTTATTTAACAATGCAATTCGTATATACTTACCCGTTCGAATACTTACCCGTTCGTGCACTGCTGTGGTTCATACGGCTAAACAGTCGACCACAGGCATACTTATATTCGTTCAGTCATTCGCGCGGTTAAACTACCGACCGCTGAAAACATGTTTGCAATCAGTCTCACCATTCGTAGTTTGGCCAACATGTCTCACTGCTATAATTATCCTTTTTCCATGTATGTTAACCGATCATACCGTCCGTTCATACGAACGAACACATCACTATATTTTATTATACTTATGTTCGTTAATTTTTTCTAAGTGCGGATAAACAGCTGGACGCAGTCTCTATGTATTCATGCAGTTGCTACGTGTAATATAAAAACATTTACCCGAACGCCAGTCTGTTATACTAATTACTTATTGCTTTGTGCCTATGATGCGGTTCATTCATACGAACGTACAAAGCACTGCATTATAAATATTCATCCCTCTGCTTCTGAGGATCTTAAAGTGACACTAATTAGGTTACACTGTTATGTACTTGAACTTTCTTTTGACTGCATATATTAAACCTTTTATCTAAATTGGCAAGTTGACTGCTACAAGGTCATATGTTTTTCACTTCAGTACTGCCCATGCAAC